AAAAGTACATAATAATTAGTGAGTGCCACCTCAGCAGTCTCAAATTCTAACCACCCTGAGGACTGCATGTGGGCTTTTTAGTGGCCCAAGAGCCACACCACCTTTATTATCTCTCATGACACCTTGTGACAACAATCAAGAGTAAGGCTTAGCAGGCTGCATGTGGCCCTTGGGCTGCATGTTTTGAGACCTCTGCTTTAATTCACAGGCAAACAGATGAAGTTATGGAACTATACCTGTCACACTGGCACAAAAGGTGGCTTCCATTTCTTCTACAATAGCATGACTGCTATTCCCACCATCCTGAGAATGAATTGCTTTCATCTTCAACTCTACTAATAAAACTGCCTCATTTTCAAATTTGAAATAGTAACCCACCTTTGAGTTCCACTGATAACCTGACTAGAGTAGGGTGAGTACATGTGACATATGAAATATTTGCACATTGATTCATATATATTCCTTTTTCTCATCAAGCAACAGTTTAGATATGCACCAGTGACTGCTAAAGGATGGAAGAAACCATTGCTCAGTAAGGAAACACAAGACCTCTAACTTCAAAAAAATAGTTGACCAATTTACACAAATGAAATATAGGAAATTTGCTGGTGGGAACTTAGAATAGCCATTGTAACCAGGTGACCAATCAAAACATGATCAGAAATATAATCTCTTTAGTGTATACAAGCACAGCCAATCTTATGCAAGATCACCTTATAAATATGTGTTTATCACATAGAACACTTTGTCTACTGTGTGTGCAGTTTCATAATTTTGATATTATATGTGTGAACAAATCACTTTATGTGATTCTGTTTGGTTTAGATAAGCCCATGAAATTAACATGCAATATTTTCTTTACTGATTGGCTGGGATCATGGGAAAACATTTTTAACCCCACCTTCTGGATTGTTTTGATTTGAATGAACATTATTTTGGCGGCCTTTATTTAACTCAACTTGCAAAAGGAAACTGAGGAAATACTATCTTGGCTGTCTGATACCTTACCCAACTGGGGGTTTGTTATGTCATGTTTAACAATATCATCATAAGAAAAATGGCATAAAACTACAAGACAAGAACAAGAATAAGAAGTAAAACTTATGGTATTGTTTATTTTATAGTGGGTGGCAGGGAGTGTGGAACGGTATATCTTTAACATAGATTTAGAATCCACTGTATATACAAGCAGTCTAAATGTTAACGTAAAGAAGCAAATAAACTCACCTCTGATCACAGAAGTATCTGGACATAACTGACAGAACTTTATCCAACCACATCATCTTTATGCAGTATATATGGGATGCAAATCCTACTCGAATGTAAATTTGTTTACGTCTTCTGTACAACCTATTGTTCCAAATCAAATACTGCAAATATCAGGCTACAAAAGCGTATCAGTAAATGTGGGAAATTTTGCATCCAGTAATCCTATTTCACATGAAAATCAGAACAATGTAACATTTAGTTCTGAAAGTGACATTTTAAGGTTAAAGATGTACTCTTGGCCGACTGTACTGTGTACCATATCAAGAAAAGTGGCAACATCACATCACATTGATCAGTCTGTTTTGAAAAATGGTTTTGTCATTTTAAAATGTTCTGTTTATTCAGATATAATTTTTTTCTTTGATTTACAGTTTTTAAAAAAAGTACAATCTACTTTTACCAGTTCAACTTTGTTTGGGACTATATTTTATGCACAAGAAATGAAAGGTGCACCGTCAATCAGAATGAACGAAATTATTTGTTCTTTTTATCTAAATAATTTCCAATTAAATAAAAACTATGTCATAAAAAGAATCTCAAATGAGTAATGATTTAATATTAAATTTATGAAACTCATTTAATAATGTCCTCTTTTGCTCGCCAAGGCTCACAAAAGCTGGAAATTATTCAAATCGTTTCATAAATTCGGTATTAAATCATTACCCATTTGAGATCCTTTATATATTGCTCATGATCAAACTTGTCTCAGGTTTTCATTCTACAAGCTTACATACAAAATCTGATTGAAATCTGATCAGAAATAAAGCCTCTGGGTTATTCACTTGATGGATGGAGAGATGGATTAATTAAAACTGAAAGATTAGCAAATAACTTAATAAACCTGAAAGATTCCAGCAGCCAAATAGTTTATTTTGCCAGTCACACTGCATCCCTGATGGAGTCAAATTTTCTTACAGAGAGAGATGAAAAGCAAACTTTAAAGTTAATGAGATCTGCTCACTATTTGAGCCCATAAGAAAATTCAGTGCAAATCCAAGTCCACCAAAGTTTTTCAAGCTCAAACAATAATTATTATGCAAGAACAAATATATACTAATCCAACAGAGAACATAGCTTGTTCAAATGTTTGTACGAAAATTATTCTTAAACTGGGTCTTCTTAATATCAAACCTAATGATAAAATTGGCATGCAGCCAAGATATCCTTTGGAAGTTGAGTGGAAATAAAATTTGTGTTCAAATGGTAAACTTCCAAGTTCATTATTAGCCATAATAATTTCAAATTTTGACAATTTAAATGCAAAAATTGAAAACAAAAAAAGACCTAGATGTTATTAAACCCACACCAAATTAGTTTCTATCCAATCAAATGTAGTCCTTCAAAACTGTCATGCAAAGAAAAAAATGTGTGATGCAGGATGACTCTTAAAGTAATCAACCTGATGAACAGACCATAACTCATTTTTGGATGTACAAAAATCTGCCCTGACTTTGGTTTTCATAATAGAGTCAATTAAGAAATCTGGCCACAATTGAACAATTAAAGGCAAAAATCAAAATTTAACCTCAGTATTATCAACAACAAATTGCATACTAAATTAGTTTATCTGCATTATACAGTCTCTAAGAACTGTCCTGTTTTTTAAAATTGTCAAGCAGAAACAAAATTTTTGATGCATGGGAAAAATTGCAAGTCAAACCTGGACCATAACTATTGCAAAGAAAAATATGAATAAACTTTTGTTATATCTTGCCAAATGCAAAATGTCTTGCTATATGAACTCAGTTGCAAATGACTAAGACTGATCAAAATCTGTCTGCATGTGTACAAGTCTCGTGTTTGGTCAATGTGGGTACATGAGAAAGCTTGCCAGTAGCTTCTCATGGATGGTGGTTCTTTCCATAGTTTTCATGGGTTTTTCCTCCACCATTTATACTGACCACCATGTATAGCCTGAAAAAAATGGCACTAAACCCTGTAACAACAAGTGATCATAATACACTGGATTAAATCCTGACAGTAACCATATGTACTTGCTTATAAGTTGAGTCCAACTGCAACTTACACAGATTCAGAACTGCCATTGCATAATGCACAGGCAGATCTGAGTCTGTGCAGTTTGTAAAGAGCAATCAGTAGAACAGACAGCATAGACATTGATGTTACATCACATTATACTATGGCAGATCAGGATCTTTGTTCCTTGCAGTTTGACTTATTTTATAAGCAAGTACATACATTAATCTTGAACAAAGAACTTAAAATTAAAAACATGAAACTAGGCACTTGCCAGTAAATGACCATACTGGGCTATCAAAACAACCAATAAATGACCATAAACTGGATTATCAAAATAATCAGGCACAGAATGGATGGATCAGGTGCCTATTCCATGGACTGTTCACCTCTCCACTCTCAGAAGAAAATGACATATCTATTATACCTTCCATGTATTGAAATTCAACTTCAGGAGTCAACTTTATTAGTTTGTAGCAATCATCCCACAAAATATACGGTACTTGAAAACTGAGGTATGCATTGCTGCATTATCTACATTTTGAAGTAAGAAAATTATATGAACTGCACACAATCATATTCATCATCAAATATTCATTATCAAACTCATATTCATTAACATCTAACTAGGACTCTAACATTTTTTCCTTGTCTATTTCAATTTCAACAACTCTATTGACTCCACTTCCACATCCAGTGTCAACTCCACTGTGTCTGGCTATCTGTGGTAATCACATTGGACTTGGATCATCAGTATTCATTGTGTGCCTTTATCTGTTGTACCTTGGTCAAATTGTTTGACATGTTGATTGTCTGTTACAGTTCACACACATTATATGCAAGCCTCTGCTAGCCTATCTGATTTCATCTATATTTCATATGCAACCCCAACCCTCACATTTATCTGGTAGCATCTGCTACCCTCTCTTTGTTGCTGAACAACCACTCCCGATCATGGAACGACATTGCATCAAAGTAAAGAGACTGAAAATGTATAGTTCTTTGATTGTTAAAAGCAAGCATCTTGTACACTTAGGTCTATCAGTAAAGGGTGAAAGAAATAATTATAATAGTTCCAAAGATCTCTCATGGAAAATGGTGGAGAATTAATTATTAAAATTAACTTTTTGGAAATTCTTGAATTGTAGGTGCCAAATTCTACATATAAATAAAGAGAAATCCCCAACTATTGATTTCTACTGAAACCTCTGACAGAGTAATAATGGTAACAATTCATGTCTAGGCAAGGGCTTGAACCATTACATCCCACACCTGTAAATGCATGTTCTGACACTTTTAAGCCATCTAATCCAGTGAACTTTGCCCATTCTAGTGACATAATCCCCATGCTTTTCAGAGATGCCTCCTTGCATTTTTATTCTTCATGCCACATAATACCTAGGCAGTCAAATTCTGAAGAGTATCAGATGTTAATCTTTGCATGATAATCAAATATCAAAGTCAAAAAATTTGCATCTGGACCTGAGCTAAAAAAAATTAGACCCTAAATCCAGACAGCCAATGAACTGTGTTTACTCGATTATAAATACAGTTCAACTGCAAACTAGAGACCCAGATCTATCAGCACATAATGTGCTGGCAGATCTGGGTCCATGCAGTCTGTTGGGAATAATCATTAAAACAGTCAAAATATACCCTGGTCTACATTAAGCTTAGGCAGATTAGGATCTTTGTTGTTTGGAGTTAATAAGGGAGTACAGCTAATAGCCCTTTGAGCCATCCAAGCCAATAACTGCTCTGGGGGCCTAGTGGTTAGAGTATCTGCCTCAGATGCAGGAGGTCGTGGGTTCGATCCCCGGTTGAGTCATACCAAAGACTTACAAAAATGGTACTAACAGTTGCCTTGCTTGACACTCATCATTAAGAGGTTAGAGTTAGTACTGGTCGGCCTAGTGTCTGGATGTGACTGGGTGGTACATCATGCTACATGTCTGCGGCATTATGCCCCAGTGCAACAATCTGATTTCTGGTGGTTACCATCATTACTAATACATTGAATTCACTGCAATATATATATATATATATATATATATATATATATATAGATATATATATATTTTTATTATTTAATATATATATCTTTATATATATATAATTTATATGTAATGTATCATGTTAGGAATATATATATATATATATATATATATATATATATATATATATATATATATATATATATATATATATATATATATATCCCTAACATGATACTTTACATTTCAGACATTTTAGTTTATAGATGGCCAATATCTGCATGTTTGATTAGGGTAGTAATACTGTAACTAATTAAAAGCGATTTAGATGTGATGGTGAACCTGGTCATGATGAGCACAAAACACATTCATATGCCAAGTGGTGACTTTATAACAACCAAGTGTCTCGTCACATGTTGAAGAACACACTGATGATGCACAAATTTCAAAAGCACATTTATTTACTTTTCCTCCACCTGGGAACTTGCATCTGAAATTTTCCATATGCTGATGTTAATAGCTAGGGTTTTTCTACTTGGATTGTATGGATTTTGGAACTCTGCAGGGAGGCTTTGGGATGTCAGACCTGTCAATGGAAAGTCCTCATCCTTCACATGGAATGAACTGTGGGTGGATTGGTTTATTTTTTATCACACACATTTTGTTTTTGGGCCGCCACAGTACCATCTGCTGTGCAGTGCCCTAGGCAATTGTGCCTCATGTGTCTATGCCTAAAAATGGCACTGCACGTACCCAGGGTTCAATAATGTAATGCTTCAATCCCAATAAAAAAAACCATTCAATATCAATTGTAAAGTTATTATAACTTTGATCTTGGTGGAAATTTTTTTTTTCTAACCATCATTTTTCACCCAATGTTAAATAATTTCACAGGAAATGGCAAACAGTCTCAAAACAATTTGATTTTATAGTAAACAATACATTTCCACTTGTTTTTAGAACTATACTTTTAAACAAATGAGGAAATGAGTGTCACAAGAAAAAATGTATTCATCATGGAAAGGAGCATCACATGAAAATAATTTAAAGTGGAAATGAGTGTCACATGAAATCTATTTTGCAAATGAATGTCACATCAAATCACATTTTTGTAGAAATGAATGTCACATCAATTTATTGTGGAAATGAATGTCACATGAAACCAATTTATTGTGGAAATGAGTGTCACATGAGATCAATTTACTGTGGAAATAAATGTCATATGAAATCAATTTACTGTGGAAATGTGTGTCACATCAAATCAATTTATTATGGAAATGACTGTCACATGAAATTGATGTACTCATGGAAATGAGTGTCACATGAAATTGATTTACTCATGGAAATGAGTGTCACATGAAATTGATTTACTCATGGAAATGAGTGTCACATGAAATTGATTTATTCATGGAAATGAGTGTCACATGAATTAATTTACTCATGGAAATGAGTGTCACATGAAATTGATTTACTGTGGAAATGAGTGTCACATGAAATTGATTTACATGTATCATCAAAATGAATGTCATATGACCAGCTCCTAGTTCCAACAATAACAATACTATTTACCTAATGGAGTATATATGTACCGGAATGCAATGAGACGTAAAATCTGCAATCTGAGATTAAGCAAATAAAAAACTGACTATCAAGATATTAAATATATCCATTTATTGTTCTTAGCTCAATATTAAATTGCATTTAATTTCCAGTTTAAGTCAGATGAAAGTGGGAAATAACTGATAGATGAAATGCAGATTCCAGGTTATGAAAGGGGAATTACTCTAATACTCTGATGATTCCAAAAAAGTATTTTATGATTGGATATACTTGTCCTAATGTTAGGAACTTGATGTATATGTTGCAGAAAGCATAAATTATTTTAAAACTCTATGGCACTCACTATGCCAACAAACAGAAACTTATCAAAGAACTAAAGAAATGCATCTGTAACCCTTTGTGACAGGTAGAGTAGTGTCAGGATTGTGAGATTTTTGCTGAGACTGGACCACTAACATAAGCATGAAAGTATATATCAACCTCAGTCTTTACTTCTATAAATTAACCTGAAGTACCCTTTACTGACATCATATACACCATTTACTAAGCAGAAGTCATCTCTAAGTGCACCAAAAATCGAATGCTCACACTGATTGATCAATAACTAATACCATCTTCTGTATCACAAATATGTGTTGCTTAGTTCGTCAACAGATTTTTTTTAAGGCCAGTTAGATGATGGACTGCAAGATGCCATAAAAAAAAAATCAATATGCTGATGTCTCATTCATTCCACAACCTGACCAATTTATATTGATGTACCGTTCAGTGTACAACAAAAGGTTCAAGTAGGCCTGTAACTCCTTACCTGGTATTTTAAGGCATAGGCACGTACCAAGGGCTAAACAGCAACTCTAAAACAAAATTTTTGCGTTGGTTGTGTCAGCAGTTTAGTAGTATTAATAAATTTAACAAAATGACGAACATGTACATGGAAATGCAATACTCTGAGACTGAGAGATTGAGGTGCATCTGGTTACTTTTAAGGTTAGAGTTTGTGCCTAGGGTCCCCAAACTTCTTACAATGGCTCTGGTATGATAACTGCTTGTGAATGCAATATCACCCATATATTGAAACTGTTGCAGGGAATGAGAATCTTGGAGCACATAGATTTTATATTTCCTATGAATACTTGTGTCTGCTATCTTTTCAAATTCCACACAGAGAGAGAGAGAGAGAGAGAGAGAGAGAGAGAGAGAGAGAGAGAGAGAGAGAGAGAGAGAGAGAGAGAGAGAGAGAGAGAGAGAGAGAGAGAGAGAGAGAGAGAGAGAGAGAGAGAGAGAGAGAGAGAGAGAGAGAGAGAGAGAGAGAGTGTTAGTTAGTTAGTTGTGTAAAGGATACAGATCATATGGTGGATAACAATCATTTGAAGTGCACTGGATCCCAGCAGTTATCAGGTGTCATAAACTAAGATCAATGCAACAAACTGATAATAAATAGCATAAAACTTGTTTTTAACTAGCCAAAGTGCTTTAATCTTTCATTGATCCAAACTAGCTACATGTAGTTTACCACACCTTCAGTCAAGAGGAAACCAACTAGGTGAAACATTTTTTACAAGCATTAATTCAACTGGAAATAGTCATGACAATTTTTGCATCTTGAATGCTTTGTTGTGCTTGTCTTGTCTCTGTTCTGTGACTGCCTTTTGACAAAGATTCAGCATAGGTTTGCAGTGTTCATTATGTATCTATAACTTTATCTGCATAAAAAGAACAAATCATATGGCCATCATTTCCTAGACCTCTCTTCTCCCTCTCCAATATGATTTAAGATCTCTCATTACTATGTGGGTGGCAATAACTGAAATAAGCTATTTGGAAATCTACTATTCTCTGCATGTTTGAAATCTGAGAAATGTGGCCTCCAAAGTGGTAACAAGGTCAGCCTTTGAAACATTTTTACTAAAGGTTCAAGACATAATGGTTCACATTCAATACCAAGAACAAGCTTGGCCAAGAAGTGGCCCACTGGAATTTCAAAAAGATATCTACTGATTCTTGGCCATGAGCCACCGATAAAGGGAGTTTTGAAATTTTTTGTTTGGACATAAAAATAAAATAGTAAAGGCAATAAATCTTCACATAAATTTGAATTGAACCTCTTGCTAACTGGAGTAAGATGGGAAAAAACCTAAACCTCCATGACAAAATTTTTTTTAAAACAATCTTAGACCAGCTATTTATTTTAACATATAAGCAGATTCTCTATCATAAAATTAAACTTTTTCTTAAGCGCTTATCACATTTGATAGCAGAACAATGCTCTACTCAAAATTATATTGTTTTCCAACATAATTATTGAAGAACTGCTTGATTACTGTATCAAATATTAAACTGAAATGGAAATTGCAAAGGATCTTTTTCAAATTACAGCAGTATCACTTAAAAATTACATCTGGGGGAGATGAAATAATAATCAGTTTCACTGCTGAACTGAAATCTTGCTTGCTATTTCCATGGCAATACACAATTGGTATTGATTATTTCTTCTTTAACCAGCCTGTGTGACTGACAGAGTTTTAACCATTTACACTGCCACTGCCAAGCCATCATATCAAACAGGCCAATAAAGAGTAGATAAAACACATGCTTTCCAAGTTCCAAGCGACTTGCAAATATTCACCTAATACAATCTACTTTCTGTCCCCCTCCTTAACTGAAAAGAGATGACATTAAATTGGATTAGTCCATGTATCCTTCCATTATTTTATTTCCTCAATTTAGCTCCATTTATTATTATTGGATTTCAATCAAATTTGTTATACACTGTACTGTGAATGCTGGTCATGTATTGACTGCAAGCATTCCAAATCATTAGGAATTATAGCCCCTAATTTTGGAGTCCATTAATTCACTTGATTCTGCAAAATAATACCTTTAATTATTATGATTGATATATAGCTTGATTTTTAATGATACACTGAATGAGTTGCCTTGTCAGCATTCTGCACTGTTTAGTGGAGTTATAGCCCCTGACTGTGAGACATGCACATTTTTCTTTCCATGCATTAATTTCCTTTATTAATGGATTTCTGACAAACTCTACACTGGCAGGGTAATCCTGATTAATGTCTACATTCTCTGAGAAATAATATATATATATATATATATATATATATATATATATATATATATATATATATATAAAGAATACAAATCATATGGCGAATAACAACCCTCTCAAGCGTACTGGATCCACCAAGGGATCACGTCTGTCAGGGATTAATTAAAATAGATGCAATAAACTGACAACGAACAGTACGAAACTAGT